TAAAGGCACACATGACAACCCAGTTACAAGGGTGCCTGCAACGCCAGCACATTGTTATGACATCACATGTGTCGTTGAGTTTAGATTTGTGAAAATTTACGAATTTGCACAGATCGAGTGTTGTCATTGTGTTTGAGAAAATGTCATGAATAAATTTTGACATTAAACATAATCCAAGTTGAAGTGTTACATCATTTTCAGCCCCCTTTTTGCCATTTGCATTTGATAGCACGCCAAATTCAAATAGACCGTGCAGAATACTGTAGTATTTTAATTCCACGTCAGAGAAAGCTATGTAGTCTCTGTAAGTAGGTCTTGGGGAAAAAACATCTGTATTGGTATCGGTTATCGGCCCAATCATTTTTAACATATCGGCGTATTGGATATCAGACAAAAATCCAATATTGTGCATCCCTAAGTTTGAGTTTTCTGCTAATGTTTATTTTTACCTCTCAGTACGAGCCAACATTCATCCAATCCATGCACAAAAAACCTGCAACATTTATGAAGTTTGCGGTCGTCTGTATGGAAATGTTCAAGTTCATTTTCACCCAAATGGTCATCAGTCCGTCTCTTCTAATCAAGAGATGATCCGAGTCAGGGGTGGGCAACATTTTTGTTCCAGAAGGTGAAGTCAAGACATTTAAAGCAATCAATCGAACGGACACAGAGAGAATTGAAAAATACATTTTCTTTAAGACAGATTACCTTGAAGACTTTTTTCAGGCTTTTTCCTTCTTGTGTTATAATTAGCATGCTAGATTAAAAATGTGTCCCCAAGACTCTTTCTTAACTTAAATATACCCCAAAAAAAGTTCATTTTTTTATTTTTGGAGTCTTAAACTCTTAAATCTTTGAGTTCAGTCAAAAATATGACTTAAAAAATATTTTTAGCCACTCTTAATCCAACGGAGTTCCAGTCTTAATTTAGCCTTCATTACTGTAAGTTTCATTGATAAAATGCAGGTTTTCATCAACTTATTTTAAGTTGTTTTCTTTTCAAACTAATGGCCAGATGGAGATTGTTCAAGGGCTGCTTTTGGCCTCTGAGCCATTAGTTGTCCACATATGTATGTATCCTTTATTTAACCAGGAAAAATAACTCATTGAGATAAAAAAAATATATATTTTCCAAGAGTGACCTGGCCAAGACAGCGGCATAAAACATACAACAAATCTAAAATACTAAACCAAATACACAAAATACATATCCAGGAGAAATCACATAATTACACATTAGGGCAGTTACAGGAGCCAAGTGATCTGATCTCTCGTTCACGTCTGATCCAAGTCTAAATCTTGGGTTGATTTTTGTTCTTCCGAGGATTTGCTACGCCTTTCATTAGTTGGTGCGTTTATTGTTTAAGGAAACTTTTTTTTGTTTTGTCATCGTTTACCAAGCATTCATAGCACTGAAAGGTAACATCTGGAGTCGCTTTAGGTTCTTGGGAATGCATACGGTCATGTTACCCTTCCTGTCCTGAACGCTGCAGGACTCAGACTTTGCTGTGACTCTTTCTAGGAATACATCTGTCCAAGATGTGATTCGGGTTTCATAGAGGAAGTCACCGAGGATTCCAGGTGGGAGACTTATCTTTTGGCTTTAATGTATGTGATGTTAGAAAAAACAAACCTCTTGCTAGTGCTGGTCTGGATCAACTGCAGGATCCTGGATGGAAAGGCGCTGAAGTCGCCGTGATGAAGCTCGTGTTTTGTCCCAGATTAGCACAGGATTTAAATTTGAGTTCTGGGTTCAGTTCATGTTGCTAACAATGCGTTTTGTCCCCTTTGTGTGCCGTTTCCCTCAGTCTCCTCGAGGGCAGCGCAAACGGGATAGATGACACAGCCACACAGTTTGCAGAGGTACGAACAGACCTGAGGGGGTTTTGTGTGTGTGTGTGTGGGGGGGGGGGGGGGGGGGGACAGGGGACATGTGATATAAATAACTTTGTTTTAACTCGTCTTTTCCTTCCTTTTTCTTCTTTGCTCTACTGTGGGTCATTTTTTGTGACATCCCTGTAGCTATGGCACCTTTTGTTACTGGAGCGGCCGTTCACAGCAGACAGAGACAGTCCCGACTCAGAACCTCGACTCCCAGGAGGACGTCTCGGGGGGTTCAGCGATTTCGGGGGTCTGGGAGGTGGATCAGTCGGTGGATCTGTCCCAGCAGGTCTAGGAGGACCCATGGGGGCCCTATTAGGAGCCGGTGACCACTGGGGACCCGGGCGTCCACCTCGTCTACACAGCCAAAGGAGATACAGGTCCAGAGGCAGCAGTAGGCCGGATCGCTCGCCTGCTGTGGAAGGGTAGGGGATTTGACTTCTACACTCCCCACTCATGACGACAGATCTGCTCATGCTCTCAGCCCGTGTTTCCAACCAACAGAGGAGGTTAGGACATGTTGCAGCTCACTAGGGTTGATCAACGATTTGCTGCAACTTGTTCAAGAAGCGTGCAGCCCCAGGTTCTGCTCTGCTGCATGTCCAACCAGAACAAACAAGAAGATGTTTAAATTAAAACACCTCGTGCAGATTTCTTATAACACGTTGCAACACCAATAAACCACGACAAGTTTCTCACTGGGCTGCGACTGTTGGAGTCTAGTTGTTGACTAGTTGTTGACTAGTTGTTGACTCGGTATTGGTGAATTTTTCATCGCGATTTCAAAGAAATCTGCAAACAGCAGCCTATGTGACCTCGCTTTGTTCATCAGTTTTTTTGTAAATCACTGCATATGTTGGTGTGCATGGCTCCCAAACTGTGTTTGCAGTTTATTTTAGTCTGCTAACAGTGTTGATAATAATTATAACTGTTGATCATCAGTGCAGTTTTTAGTACAGATGCACCCAATGTTTCTGTGGGCTGATGCCAATATGGGATTTTTGTATAGCTCTGACCGGCTGATGAAGATTTTCTTTTAATGAACTAACGAATACAAACTCATACGCAGGTTTTGATTTTAATAATTATCATTCAACTGTAACAAATATTTACCATAAACAGCTTTGAACAACTTGGGTTATTATTTTAAAAAGCAGTCTCATTTAAGTAAATAAAATAACATCACTAAGATGAGATAAATAAAGGGTCCATGTGTCTGCACAGAAGCTGTAGTTTAGAATGCAACAGGAAGTTAATAAAGGAATATCCCCTTTTGTGCACCACAGCATAAGTCCTTAAAGAAATGGTTTGCAGGTTAGATACTGATAACTCCACCAAAATCTGAACCACACCTTTATCTTATAAAAACACGACAACCTCAAATGTGCTAAAAACATTTAACTTCAAGTGTTCAGTTTGCACTTTGCAAATAAAAATAAGTGCATCATCGTGTAATATGAAATCAAGGCTCCACAGAACGACACTTCAGTAACCACAAGCTATCCTTTTTTATGAATTATGAAGGTGCATAAAAACATCTTCAAATATTTTTCAAACCCAAATACTATAACACAAAAATACAATGAGGCAGTCAACAAATGCCTTCACACTGCAACACTTCAGCATTGGTAGGTTGCTGGTCGTGGACGTCTGTGGCCTCGTGCAGCTAGCTTGAGCCTTAGCCGCTTTGCGTCGATGTACTGGGTCTGTTCTTGATGCAGTCGTCCAGTACCGACTTAGTACCGATCTGTCCCTAGTTTGTAGACATTTAGACCTCAACTGTTTTCTGTCAGCTGTTTGTCGCATAAATGTTTCCAACATTTTTCAAAACTCGATGCGTGCGAGCTTCTGTGTCTCGTGAGGAAACTGAGAACTGATGATATTCTTGGAACATTTTTGAGACTCCCGTGCGAATGTTCACTAACTTGTCTCCATCGTTCACAGCCCAGAGAATACGGAAATGTGTTGTAGCTATGAATAGTCAAATATTTGGTAGTGGTATTTCAAGTGTACAGAAAGGCACAGATGGACAGGATGTGGAAAGAGACGACCCTTTATGTTTTTATTTAAGTGTGAGTGCACCACTCCTTTAACACAACTATTATAAAGTCAGGAACGGAACTGAGCTCGGTGGAAACGGCTCCAAAATCTCTTCTTTTACTGACTCTAATTGTGCGTTTCGTTTCGTCAGGATTGTACAACAGTTTCTTGCTGGTCTCTTTGCCAACTCTGGGGTTCCTGGCTCCCCACCTCTGTCGTGGTAAGAGCCTAACAACATGTCGGTAACATCTTGCTGCCTCTTCAGTGTTTTTGTCTTTAACTGGGTCTGTCTGTGTCTCCAGGACAGGGATGCTTCACTCCAACCCAGGAGATTATGCATGGGGGCAGGGGGGGTTAGACGCTGTCATAACTCAGGTGAGCTACAAAAACTACAGAGCTCCTCGAGTGTCTCGCTTTTGTCTTGACCTGACGGGTGTTTGTGTGTTTAGTTACTTGGTCAGTTGGAGAACACCGGACCTCCTCCGGCAGAGAAAGAGAAGATCTCTTCCCTCCCAACCGTCAGCATCACTCAGGAACAAGCAGGTCAGTCGCTCCTCTGCACTGCTTCCGTTTGTCTTCACCGTCTCACCAGGTGTCTCTTCTGTCCGGGACGTCCCGACTGCAGCTGTGTGATGGTTGAAGTTGTCAAACTCGCTGTATGTAAATTAATTACTTCATTTAGGCCATTGGCTTTCAGACCGATTACTGCATCGATTCTCAATCTTGATTTCAGGGCCTCACTGTGGGCTATGAAACATAAAGTGGGGGTCAGTGATTGTTTACTTCAACCAAAGGCGTACGGGGTGCACATTATTTCTAAAAACAATGGATAATTTAAAAGCAGTTCTTTGAATTGAGTCATTTCAGTTTCACCTATAAATCCGTCAATTCAAGACTGAAATATGTTTAACAATAACAAGCTTTACGCTCATATTTCAGTTGTTTTTTTAATATCTAACTGTTTTAGTTGTGTTTCTGCACATAGAAGCGTGTTTTCTTCTGTTAAACTGAAGTTCAGAGCTCCTTTGTGAAACATCTGTTGTGTGCTCAGAAAAGTCCCCTGGACTCAGTACATTAACGTCTGCTGTGGTTGTGCTGCTGCATGCAGTGACCTCTAAACCCACTGGTAGGACAAAGTGCCCGTTAACCTTGGAAGTATCAATTGCTCGTTCCATTAAGTCCTTTAGACCTTTTTTCCTTTCTGTTGTTTCACTAATCTTACGTGAAGACAGCATTGTTTTTGAAAAGCTGGCTTGTTGACACAACCTGAAACATTTACCAGTACTTAAAAGACACCGTAAATGTTTTATCCGATTGCTGGAAGTGATCCTACCTCATTCCTACCCTCACCTATGGTCATGGACTCTGGGTAGTGACAAAAAGAATGAGGTCATGATACAGGTGGTTGAAATGAGTTTTCTCTGCAGGGTAGCTGGACTCTCCCTTAGAGACAGGGTGAGAAGTTCAGTTATCTGGGAGAGACTCGGAGTAGAACCGCTGCTCCTCCATGTTGAGAGGAGCCAGTTGAGGTGGTTCGGGCATCTGGTAAGGATGCTCCCTGGCACTTTCCTAGAGATGTGCTTTGGGCATGTCCGACTGAGGGGAGACCCTGGGGAAGAACCAGGACACGCTGCAGAGACTGTCTCTCGGTTGGTCTGGGAAAGCCTTGGAGTCCCCCCAGAAGAGCTGGAAGAAGTGGCTGGGCCTCCCTGCTCAAGCTGCTGCCCCTGCGACCCGATTTTGGAACAAGCGGAGGATGATGGATGGATGGATGGATGGAAGCGGAACGGTTGTTTTGTGTGGATGGATTGAAAGCCGTCTTTTCTCCCTCAGACTGCTGCATGGAGTGTCCAGTGTGCAAAGAGGACTTCGCGGTGGGAGAACCAGTCAGACAGCTACCCTGTAACCACTTCTTTCATTCAGACTGTATAGTACCGTGGCTGGAAATGGTGAGTCACAAGAGATGTCGGAACATTTCAAACCAAAACCATGTCCTCTGTGGTGTTTTTAGTTTTCCTGAAAGTGTGGGCAATGTTTAAACACATTTTGCTCCGAAAATTAATATAAAAATCCCAGGGGAATTAGTTTGATAACTTGTTGCTCAATTCAAAAAAGCGTTCAATACAAAAACAACTGGACTTTATTTGTGACAGAAGACGTTTCGCTCCTCATCCGAGGAGCTTTCTCAATTCAAAGAGCAGTGAGAGAGGGGTTCAGGTTATAAGGCTGAGTGAGATAAGACACACACACATGTGTAGATTGGCAATTCACATCTAAACACCTTAACAGTAAAAGTCTTGTTCCTCTAATTCACAGACTGAGGCCCCTCTGTTCCCTGAAAAAACACCAATCTGGATTTCTGAGCGTTGACTGCACTGATAATTTAGTATTTTATTTTGTTAGCAATGCAGTTACTGCGTGCTCCAGGGTTGTAGGCAATGTCTGCCAATTTATTTAAAAATAAAACAAAATTAACTCTTTCACTTTATGGTAATCTCATCCTAAAAGATAATTTTCTTAATTTTTTATTTTATTACTGCATCAAATTTAAAAGGTTTTTGTTCAAAATCATGCTAAATGAAGTAGAAGCTGTTGAGTAATCAGCTTTAACGTTTAAAATTTGTATAGATTTACAGCTTCTTTCACTAAATCACATTTAAACCTCTTGCTGCCCTTGGGTCTAAATGACTCACTGGGCGTCATTTTTGACCCAAGGGAGGGTTGAAGGTACAAAATCCAACATTAAAAAAGTTTATCTTATATCAAATGAAGCCACCTGAGTTCACCCCAGAACTTTTTCCAGATATATTGAATGTAATTCTGAAGTGCGGGTACGCACTCAGTGTAAACAAAGCGCTCGGCAGAATCTCTCGAACGCCACGTGGAAGCTCGAGTCACATGATGGACCCACATCAGACTGGTCGTAGTCTGCATTAGTGAACAAAAATGGCGGTAAGCTCGACATTCGACCTGTTTTTAGTTTCTTCGGTTGTTTCCGTAGCTAAACAAACACGTGGTTTTTAAGGTTTGCTTAAAAGTCCAAACACATTGAGCAGATTTTTATTTTATGAGTTTTCTGTGTTGTGACTTTTCAGTTTTTTATCTTCATCCTGGAGATGTTGGTGAAAATGTGACTGTTCTGCAGGAAGCTAACGTGTGCGTTTTGTTCTGTGGCGCTGCAGCACGACACGTGTCCAGTGTGTAGGATGAGTTTGAACGGAGAAGACAACAGCAGCCAGACCCCCTCAGAGTCCCCCTCCCTCTCCACGGACCCCCGCACACAGGAGAGATGGTCCTTTTGAGACGCCCGCCTCCCTCATCTTCCTGTCTCCATCCTCACGTCCCACAGAACGCTTCAGTTTTCCTTCGATGCAGTCATCATAATCTGACTCTTTATATGTTCAGGTTCAGTTTTGATGCCTTCTCTTGTTCCAGTCATGCACCCGAAACGGACGTAACAAATCATCGTGGTTTGATTGATTCCCTTTGCTGACAAACCAGAGTAGATCGATGTTCTTCTCACCAGAGTTTCCTCGATTTCTGCAAGTAAACTCCTTTTACGTTTCTTTAAACGAGCTGCTGGAAAACAAAATCATGGGAAACAACGTTGACCCCGAACACCTTTTACCATCGTGAGAGAAACGTTTTGCTTTTTGTCGGGAATTATTTTATTTTGTCTTTTTTGGGATGAGTTGCTCCTCCAAGGTAAATGAGCTCATGTTGTCAACACTGTAGTGTTAATAAATATATTTTTAGGACAAACAGAAACCAAACTTAACTTAAAAACTCCATCCAGTCTGAATTTATCAGAGTTCGTCCCTCCCGGTGTACATATTACAAACCGATGACAACCCTCCATTTTAGTCCGCTCATGACTGTTTGAACATTTTGATTCACTTTTAATGTAAATAATTTTAGTTCATCAATTTAAGATTTGCAAAGTAAACGAACAGAACATTGGAAATGCAAATGTGAAATACCTGGTTATCAAACTGTATATTATAAATATGAAACTCTATGATGTAATAATAAATTGACAAAAAAAATTGGCTGAACTTTTCATTGCTTACTGTAAATTTATTAGTGTTTTTTTTTTTTTTTAAAGCATCATAATCAAAGTAGTTACAAATTGTTCTTTATCCAAGTGGCAAAAGGCACAAAAATGTCTCAAGTGTTGAGTTTAATCAGCTTTAATTAAAAAAAAGATCTCTTGAGGTTTTCGTTTATTGAGGCTAATAACATGATTATTGTGCAGCAGACAAAGTGAAATGATTCAAACGGTAAAGTGCTTGTTAGATCATGAGCTTTGGCAAAGCCGACCATCCAGTGTTTGTTTATTGTTGCTCACAGTGTTCAGTGTGTGCTTCTGTGCTGGAGCCCAGTCAGTGTGTGTTCCAGGCGAGCGTGAGCAGCGACCGGGCCGGAGCCACGCTGGGAATGTAACCCACAGCTGGATCCCAGACGTCAAACTGGATCACCGACCCAGACCTGAAAACACAGTTCAGTGTTATTTACGGATCAAATTGTTCAGCGCAGTCATTTCAGGTTGCGTTAGCGCTTGATGTTGAGGGCGACTCTCAGCTACTACCACACCAAGTGTCCGCTCAACATTTGCAGCTCGGGTATAGTTGTGGGCAACAGCGGTACCTGTTGAGAATGACGAGCACCACTGATCCGTCCGGTCTGATGAAGGCGGCGAATTCCAGCGGCGTCTCTCCGCTAGCAGACACCCCCACCCTCTGGGACCCCTCCCACAGGAACTTGCTGAGCAGAGATCACAGATGAGGGTCTGATAAGCGCTCGCTGTAATTAAAGATCGCTCGGGACAAATGGGCAGCTACCTGAAGTGGGCCATGCTGTAGAAAGTTGGCTGCTTGTAAAAGACGTCGCGCTCTGCGTCCACTATGATGGGGCTGTCCACAAAGTTCTTGACCCAGTTTGGTCCACCGGTCCGGTCCAACGCCAGGTTCCAGTCAGTCCAGCCCACAACATAGTTATTCAGGTCCTGAAAAGAAGAAAATGGCCACAAGTTCAGGATCCACGAGATTTCAAACTGCAGCAGGACGTGAAAAAGTGGTTTATTTAGACGCCATAGGACAAAAGGTCCTCATGGATCAAGTTCTTCCTGGTTCTGGACAGGTCTCCAGTCTGAAATGAATGGAAGGAGTCCAATTTCCCTTGAGTGAAAGTGAAGACGACACCGGTCGCTTGTTCTGCAGGCGGTTTCTGTTGACCCGCACGCAGCAGAGGGGAACATCTCCGCTGAGCTGCAGCGTGACGAGGAGGCGTCTCGCAGCTCGTCGGACCTCAGCCGCTTCCCCAGATCGGACTAAACGGACACACGCCTCGGACGTGCAGGAGAACGGCTCACCTCTAGAATATCGTGCGCGTACTGTTCCGCCCTCTCCCAGCTGCCCAGCTTCACTCCTCTGTCTGCTGGGATCCAGCCGGCGCAGGCCTCGGTGCCGAACAGGTAATACTCCGGGTACAGGTGATGGGTGGTGCCCAGAGTCATCTCCGCAGGGACAAAACTGTCCAAGTACCAGTGGACCGCCACACCATGAACGTACCTCGCCGCATGAACATCACTGAGGACCTGGAGGGGAAAATGAAAGGCCTTGAATTCCTCGAGCACAATGACCTCATCACCTGACTGGAAAACAAACAAACAAAGCACAACAATGGGCGGTGCCGTGTGTCTGAGTTAAAACTAATCTGATGTAAATTAAATAGTTTAACAGCATAATCCTGCCTAAATCTACAAAATAAAGAATAAACATTAGGATAAAAAGCTGTTTAACATTTAAAAAGAACCAGTACACATTACATTACATAAATGACAGATTTATCCATGCAGTCTATTATCAAGTGATCATCTCTAATATCTTATGAAATTGATTTTGTTTTTCAATAAAAAAGGATTTATTTAAATTTAGTCTTAAACTTTTTTTTTTTAGCCTGAAATAAAATCAGGTTATTGCCGTCCTGCAGCGTCTCCACTCTCGGACCCACCACTTGAGCCCAGTGAGGCAGCAGCAGGCGGTTGTCATCCAAGATGAGGATGTGCGTTTGTGGGTAGGATGAGGAGTGCACCGCTGGACCCAGATCCAGAGCCACCCAGTCCCTCTGCTCCTCAGGGGTGAAACCCAGAGCCTGGAAACTGCATTAGGACAAATGTGTCTCTTTCAGCATTTCTAATACCAAAAAATAAAAACCTATACAGCATATTGTTATAGATTATGAAGTGAACCTGTAGTTCGTCATTTGTCCAGCAGAGGGTTCGTTTCCTGTCGTCAGCGCCCAGAAGGTTAAGTTATATTTGGCATATTCCTCCAGAAACCTGAGCAGAGCGATTTAAAAGCACCATTCTGAATATATATATATATATATATATATATATTTTACTAAGCAGCGTAAAATAACACTTTGATGTAAAACTGTCTCTAATCACCTGATGTAGTACTGAGCCCAGGCTTTGTGCTCCTTGCCCCCCGGCTGACCCTTCAGAGAGCCCTTTCCTGTGAGCGCACCGTTAGTTTTCATCCAGGCAGGGGCGCTCCAGGCGCTGGCCAGCAGGGAGAGGGGGTGAGGAGACATGGCCTGGGCCCGCTGCAGGAGGGGAATCTGAAACAAGGAGGACAGACGTGAGGAGACGATGGGACGGAAGGGTTCCTGTCTGAGCAGACCCATAGAGACCTTCATGTTCGTGTCCTCTGGGGCCAAAGTGAAGTTGTCCAGGTTGTAGTCTCCAGTCGTGTCAGCGTAGGTGTAGAGGCGCGTGGAGAAGTCGCAGCTCGCCATGGGCACGCGCACCACGCTGTAACCGATACCTGTCCAATCACAGAGTTGTTGGTTCAATCACAACCGGAGACATGGTTCTGCTTAGAAACCCGTTCAGAACATCACATGAAAGCTCTGAAGCTCCTCTTCTCCATCTGCTGAAGTTTACTACAGACTCAAACTGCAATTATCCCCAAAGAGTAAATTAGTTTGGCAGTTTCCAGATTTCCACATGTGCTCATATGCCTAAAAGCAATAACGGCAAAAAACAACAACAATAAAAAATGCTTAACTAGGCTGTTAAAGCTAAAAAGGGCAGGACACTAGTAGCTGAGCATGAACTTAATCCAAAAGTAACAAAACACTACGTAAAAGCTAATTGTAAATAAATATGCTAAAATGTAACAAAAAGCTAGTTAAAAACTGAGTAGCAGCATGCTAATGGTAGCAAAACTATAGAACAAAAGCTAAAAGTAGCCAAATTCTATATAAAAGCTAATTGTAGCTAAACTAATGAATAGTAAAAAATAAATAAATAAAAGCTAAATGTAGCCAAAAGCTAGTTAAACGCTAAGAGTAGCAATATGCTAATAGTAGCAAAAGTAGAAACAAAAGCCAAAAGTAACTAAATTCTAGTAAAAGATAATTGTATCAAAACTATTGAACAATTTTTTAAAAAGCAAAAGCTAAATGTAGCAAAAGCTAGTTAAAAGCTAAGAGTAGCAACAAGCTAAAGCTGAAAGTATGGAACATGTTAGCTAAAAGAAGCAAAACCTGCTCTAATTTGAACTTTTTAATCTTAAGATGATTTGTTAGAAACAAATTTGTATCCTTTGAAAGTAAAAACAGATGTCATCCATTTAAACAATTTCACCAAACTAATAGTGTCCACCAGAAAGAAGGCGGGTGATAATGTAGTTGCCTATATATGTGTTTGTCTATTAGCAAAATATCTCAACCACTGGACAGACTGTGATGGAGCTCTCAGAAAGTAACCAATGGATGTCAGCCAAACTCAAGATGGCCACATCAGCTGGTTGACGTTAGCCAACACGTAAATCGACATAACTCAGTCGGGTTGAAAGACATTGTGCTCAAATTTGACGTGGTAGTAGCCGAGACTCAGCTAGAGAGTCGTGCATAGGTAATTTGGAACAAAACAGTAAAAACTTTGTTGTTTTTCAATATGGGATGATCCTAGATTAAAACTATAAAATATTTTTTATGACCGTTTTATAGGCTGACCCCAGAGTTGTATAAAACACTAGAAGGCCCTCTGGTCATGTGACTCACAGCAGCAACAGCCACCTTTAACAAAATGGTCTAAAGATTGCACTTGGCACTTTGACTAACAGCCCTTAGAAAAGGCTTACTACATAAAAAATGTAAAACATAATAAAGTAATATATTAAATGTACTGCATATAGGAATGTTAGAAAATCCAGAAAGCTGTGTGTACTATGAATGTTAGCGATGGAGAAGGGAAAACATCAACATGTCTCTTTCCACAGGTAAGCAGATTTTCTTATTTACCTCGGTGTGAATGTGATCTGACCTGAACTAAAGTGAATAATAACCGTTTTAAAGTACTGTAGCCTATAAAGCCATGTCATGGTTGTTAATTATTGAATTGGCTAGTAGATATTAGCTTCTGTGGAAGATATTGTTTTGCTGTACAGGCTGAATCATGATACAGTTTAGTACAAATTATTAAATGTATAAGCTGCCATTTCCTCTGGTAACAAATCATTTTCTGCTCACTTTGAATTCTGAAACAGTACCAGTACATTGAGCTTAGATTTAGATTAGACACAGATCACTGCAATTAAATCGAGCCTACATAAACACAATTTACATGTTACAAAAAGTTTCTAATTCATCATTGTAAAGATCATTTGTAACACAGATCCAGTTGGGTTTTCTGTTGATTAAACAGCTGCTTTGACGAGGGCTTAATCTGTAAAACGATCGATACCGGAACACAGTGAGTGGGATGGCAGGGGGGTCCTCCCGCAGAAAATTCTGAATAAAGTAGATGCAATTTCCTGTATTTTAAAGAGTTGTTTAACATCTATGTTTTCCTACATTTGTAAACACCACTTCTGTCAAACATCCTACCCCATCTTCCCCAACTTGACGGTTTTGAGCCCGACACTGTCCCAGCTCATGGTTGAAACATCCAGGCACCTGCCTGTGGGCTCCTACCCACGTACGACTGCCTGGTTAGCTTGGCACTGACCCCCACCACTCTTTTAGGGGTGGAGACTGTTTTGTATGCTCGTAAGTGGCTGTTGTGTTTAAAATGAGTGTTTATGTAATTATATTCAGTTTACGTCAAATCTAAGTTTTATTTGTTCATAACTTTATTTTTAGTAAGCCTGAGCGTTACCGGATCCAAGCAAACATTTACTGGAACGCATTCTGACAAAATAATAGAACTGCTGGATCCTGTTCTGGCAGGATCCGTCTCAAATTAAGCCCGAGCTTTGACTTATGTGAGCAGTTGTCCGTTTTGAACGCCATCTTGGCATGTCACAAATGTAAACAACAGGTGGGCTGAGCAGAGCAAAGGAAACGCGCGTCCTGCATGGAAAGGCTCTTCCTCACCTTCACTGGAGAAGTACTGGCGCAGCAGCTGCTCCTGAGCTCCAGCGGAGAGGGACAGGATGTTGATGGCTGCTGCATCCGTCATGGCTCCTCCGAAGCCCCGGATCCTCTGATACTTCTGGTAGGGGACGATGGTCAGCCTGAGGCCTGACACAAACTCATCAGGACACTCGCAGCACCGCCGAACCCGTCAGACATTCATCCAGTGAGCTCACCTGATCCGGTGCCGTTCATCCGAACCTGGATGTGACCCTGGCTGGCCTCCAGCCTGCTGCCCGCCATGCTGCTCAGGTAGGTGGAGTACTGACCCAGCGGGGGCAGGGGGCCCGACCCGACGCTGTCACAGTAGGTAGAGTTGCACTCACACACCACGGAGTCATGGCCGAAGTTCCTGTCGACACACCTGCTGCTTCCTGAGAGGAGGAACCCCGACAGGAACGCGTTACTTCTGCACTGGAAACGGCAGCGCATCAAACTGGGTCCAGTTTGTTACCTGAACCGAGGCTCAGAAGGGCCGAGATGAAAACAAGAACCAAAGGAGCACACGAAGGCGCCATTTTATTTATCTGCGGACAAAACAGAACCAAACTGTAGGTTCTAGCTGGACAACAAAAAAAAAAAAAAAAACGAGCGGGGAGTTTAACGACAGCTATGACCCGTTCCGTTTATTACTTTAATCTCTCACCTTCAGAGGGTTCTAACGGGAGCTCGGTTCGGTTGTTTCCTCTTCCACGGTCACTTCGACGTGCTCCAATCGTACAAACCTGTTGTCCGAACAGCCATGTCCGGTTCTTCCCATCTGTATTTGTGTTGTGCAGTTTTTCCGGTCACGTGACATTGGAAACGCTCACGTGACTGTGGCGCTGCAGTGATTAGTTAACCGCCAGAGGGCGCCATTGAGAGCAACGCAGCAGCTGCACAAACCCCCGTAAGGTAAACTTACAGCCTGGAATTTGTTTATTTATATATTTTGGATTAGAAGTACAGTAATAATTACAATTTATTAAGTTAAAACAATGTGTAAAACTATTTAAAGTAAATAAAGAGTCCAACTGAAAAGTGGTGCGACCCTTTGTTATTTGAAGCCCCATTTTTCAGAAATGGTAAATGGACTGTACTTATAAGAAACAAATTTAGTTTGACAAGATTCATCAGTCAAAGAATAAGCTCTTGTTGTAACAGATCCCCATAATCAAGTAGGGGCACCACCAGTTCCCCAGAAGAATGGGTGGCCCAGGACCCCCTTTGGTCCGACTAGGGGAAGAAGAACCTCATAAATATAAGAAAAGTTTTATTTGAGCAATTAGGATTTAGAAAAGAAAAAAAAATTTATCCAAAAATAAAATAAGCCTAAAATCTAGTTCTAATAAAGACCACAGGGTCTAAAACTAACATTAGTATGCTGGGCCTAAAGAGGTTATACGTTTTTTTAATATATATAAATTTAGGAGACAAGCTTCAACAGGTTGAGTAGTGACAGAACTTTTCTGAACCTAAAACAGCCTGAAAAAGCAAATAAAGAAAAAGTTTGGGATAATGCTTTAGTAAAATGTATAGTTCATGACTGTTCTTTTTAAAATTGTTTTACATTTATTCTCGTTCACCAAAGTACACAGCAACAAGTAAACCAGTGTTTTGAAATGAACTAGAAGTGGTGTCTCTAAACTTGAGAACGCTTGTTTCTTGTAAAAGTTTTGTTCATCAAATGAAGACAGTCCGTACATGTGTAAACACACAGACCACATTAAAACTGGACTGTTGGGAAATTCCAGATGTTCTGTTCTGCTCATCACATAATCAGCAATGTATTGTGTAAAACAGGAAACGGCAACATCAGCTGGCAACCTGTAACAAATCTTCACCACCCTTTGGTTCTGGTGCGCCACCCCAGGATTTTCAATGGCCCCCAATCCACATCACAAGCAGCCACATCATCAAATACGCAGACGATACGAGCTGTGGGCCTGATCCATAGCAACAGGGCCTACTGGGAAGAGGTGGCACAGCTCGTGGACTTGAGGAAAATAAACGTCTGGGCCTCCCTGCTCAAGCTGCCGACGCTGCGATACGACTTCGGGACAAGAGACGAACAGAAGGAATGAGTGAATACCCTTAAACACTTGTATACATTAGATCCTTATATACAGTTTCTTTTTACACACTGTTATTTTTGGGTGTAACTGGGACCCTGAGTACATAATTTTGTTCCACCTCATGTACCACATGTGATGCAAATGACATTAAACTTGACTTGAAATCCCAGTAAAAAAACAGAACTCAGTCCAGTTGAGAATCTCTGGTCTGACTGTTGAACCCAACTTGAAGGAAAGATTTCACATACACAATTACATTATTAAACACTTTTAATAACAGTGTTTAAAGTATCGTTTTAAACTCTTTACATGAACATTTATTATCAAAGCAGCACAGATAAAAAAAAATAAAAATTACAGACACGAGCGCGTGTGACGGAGCGACGTGTAGAGACGGAACTATTTCTGTAGCTTTACAAGAAGCCACACATTTTCTCCAACGTGGATGGATTCCTATTGCTTAGAAAGATGAGTTCTTTCTTGGCGTCCTCCGTTCGACCTGAGGGAAACCAACAACAGTCAGAGCGAAAGCCTTCTTCCCTACAAGCTTTAGAGAAGCACACGCCGCACGACAACTTACTCTGCGGGTGCTGCAGCCATTTCCGCTCCAAATAATAAAGGTAACAGCTCTCGAACTCCTCCTCGTTGTAGTTGGGAACCGACACTGGGATGAACGGATCCATGCTGTCGAACCCACTCTGAGGAGGGAAAACACGGATTATAAAACATTACCGTGTTCAGGCGGTGGTTCTGAATACTGGGTCCAGTTATGCAACAAAGTCAGCCCAAGTTTACAGGGAATTAAAATATGGAAATAAATAAAGTCAGCTACTTCCACTGATGAATATCATTTACTTAAAGAATCAAAGAGAGGAATCATTAAAGTGTTTTTAAATATGGATTTATGCACGAAAAAAGAAAACGAGTTAAAGTGAAGTCCACACAGTCAGGAGTGACCCTGACACATTATAAGATGGGAGGGGAGTTACAGAATCCCACTTTAAATCTCTTCATTGAATGTTTTTTATCAAAGATGGAATTTAAAAAAATTAAATGATGAAATGAGCATTCCTTAAAGGAATCCATCAACACACACACCCCCCCCCCCCTGCTACCAATCATATTAGAGCTATGAGGAGTTGTAGTAGCCATTTTGGTCAAACCTTGTGAATGATGTCATTAGTGCTCTCATGAGATGCTAGAGCTCTCAGTATGTGTGGGAGATGACGCTCAGCTACTACCACACCAAACATTAGCTCATGTTTATCATGACTTCTGCATGATAAAAAAAAGTCCCACTTATGTCTTAAAAATGTATTTTTTACCGATAAAACACAAACGTTTTCAGGTATTACTGCTAAACAGCAGGGCTGAAACATACATCAGGACTTTTAATCATCTCTGAAATATCAATATTGAAGTTGACTGCTATGGTACTGTGCGTTTTCTAATTATGGGAAAGATTTGACAACACAAACTGGTTTACTTCCTCTGAGACAATAAAACTGGTTTGATCTGGAATTATCAGACTAACAGTTAACGCTAGAAATAAGAAAAACTATCAAAACTGCAGTTCCTGCAAAAATGCAGTGTGAATGCTTATTACAGAAGAACTTGCTGAAAAACAGCTGAAATTAGAAAAAAAATGCTGAAACGTAGCTGAAAATGTAGAAAAGCGTAAATCAGCAGGAGAAAGCAGAAAGAACACAAAAGTTGAAATGAGTGCAAAAATGTGGAATTGGCTGAAAAAGCTAATATTAGCATAAAAACAGCTAAATAGCAGCTGAAATAATGACAACTAGCAGAAATAAGCTGAAGGGAGCATAAATTGAGATTAGCAGAAATAATTGAATTAGGTTGAAAGTAGCAGAAATTACCACGAAAAACTTGAATTTATATGAAAACAGCTGAAATTAGCAAAAGTATATAAAAAAGGTCGAACAAGCTTAAATTAGCATGAGAAAGCAGAAATAACATGTTTGACCAATTAGGCTGACAGCAGCAGAAATTAGCACAAAAAGTGGAAATTACAAAAAAGGCTGAAAAGTAGCTAAAAAATGCAGAATGAAGCTGAAATTACCAGAAGGAATGGAGAGCACATTTTTGCTGAATTAGGCTGAAAATAGTTGAAATGAGTGCAACAAAAGTAGAATTAGCTGAAAAAGCTAAAATTAGCATAAAAACTGCTAAATAGTAGCTGAAATGGCAGAAAAAGTTTAAACTTGCATAAATAAGCTGAAAGGAGCACAACAAGCTGAAATGATCAGAAAGAAGTTAGAAGAAGCACAAAAATGTTGTAGTTAGCAGAAAGATCCAAAGAGGAGCACAAAACAGCTGCACAAACAGCAGAAAGTGGCTGGAAAAAAGTTTAAATTTGCACAAGGAAGCTGAAAGAAGCTGAAGCAAAACAAAATGCGAAAGCAGCAGTAAAATGTTTAACGATTTGAAGGATGTAAAATGAGCTCAATTCATTTTCTTTGAGAAACAAAAATGGCAGAAAAAGCTAAATATTTCAAAAAGCTAAAGTTGCACCAATACCAAAAGTCAGCAGAATTGTCCTGAACAAGCTGAACATTTTGATATGATTTGTTGAAATAGCATAAAAATTGTGGAACGAGAAAGATGCAGAAAAATATACAGAAGAAAAATGAATCACAGTAGAGTGACTGCTTCATAAACATCCACACAGTAAATATGCTGCGGCAGCTTGAGAGCGCTACAGGCGATGAAAGAGACGATAAATAAAAAGTCCTAACCTCTCCAAGCAGCTCGTGAGGCAAGTAGGCATCTTTTGGAGTGTGGACCGACCCGGTCTTAGCCAGCGTGGCGATGATGGCGCCTCCGGTCTGAGACAACAGAGTGAGCGTTAACCAATACGCTTCTGAAACAAGAGCGGCGGCGCTCCACTTATTCTCACCCAGTCGTTCTTCATCAGCTTCCTCAGGTTATAAATCAAAGTGAGCTCTTCTGGATCCACCTGGAGACGAGAAGAAAACTTAACCCTTCTGAGGAAAATTAAGGAAAGAACGTTGAATTCGAGGCATGAAAACATGGTGAATGTCTTTACTAACGGGGCTCTTATCCTCCTTTTTGAGGGTGGTTCTCCCCCACAGGGCGTTGACCCCGTCCACCGCCACGGCCAAACGAAAGCCGGCGTCGGGTTGCCCGCTCTGCAGCTTGAGTTCCTTGATCACCGCCCCCACCACATCACTGCTACTCTTTATGCGAGTGATGCCCTGCAGCAGATTGGACACCAGCAGAGCGTCACAAGTGAGCGTGAAGGACAGAAAGAAAACATGGTGGAAGGCAACAAAATACAAAGGATCACAGGGATTAAATGAAGTAAAGATGGAGAAGTGAGGGCGGGGGGGTCAACAGGGAATAATTTAATAATAATGAATCATTTATGTCATGTTAAGTCTTCAAAGTGTTTATTACAAATGGAAAATAATAGGAAGTCAGACAATCTCAACGTCCAACAAAGGATGATAAAACCTGATTTATTCTCTTACGAAAGCTGTCAGATAAAAACGTCACAAATTTAGAGTTCTCAGTTCCCATCAGTGTGTGCCGACCACCAACATCCTCAGCTCTGGAGCTACTGATCACCACAAACCCCAGAGAGGGCTTCAGTGGAGAGAAATAAACCACAGAAACCACATCTGTTCCCCCTGAGAGGACTCACCTTATCCACCAGCTGTCCCAGCAGACTCCCCTCCTCGGTGAACTCCCTCTTTGTCCACACGTAGCGATGCTTTGTTTTTATCTAAGGAGAAAAAAAAAGGGAACAGATTAAAACCTTTTCTTTTATAATTATAAGTGTAAGTCTTCAGCTCTCACTGGAGCGGTTCACAGCTGAGTGTGAAGCGACTGGGATGAGAACCAGCACCTCCAAATCTGAGGCCACGGTCCTCAGTGGGAAAAGGGTGGACTGGGAGTGAGGTCTCCTTCAAGTGGAGGAGTTCAAGTATCTCAGGAGAGAAAAGAATGAAGCATGAGAGATCGGTGCAGCTTCCACAGTATTTCAGATTGTGCCGGTCCGCTGTGGTGAGGGAGGAGCTGAGCTGTAAGGCGAAGCTCTCCGTTTACCAGCCGGTCTACGTTCCCACCCTCACTTATGAACTCTGGATCATGACCAGAAGAAAGAGTTTGCAGGTACAAGCGACCACTTTAGAGAAAAGGTGAGACGTTCAGTTATCTGGGGAGACTCGACAGAGTTGCTGCTCCTGCCCCGTGACCCGATTCTGGAATCAGCAGAAGATAATGGATGGATATTTCTTTGAGGGTGTTGGTGAATCCTTCCCAAGGTAGGATGACAAGTATTATTCTAGAATTGCGCCACTTGGGGTGGCTGCATGTTGGAGTTGCTCTGTTGCATTCGCTCTGAGTTGTTGCTTTTGAGAACTTTGATTCTTCTTTTTTCTGGATGTAAATTGCTTTTTTCAGATGATTGCTTCCTCTGGTATCGGACGCTGTGCAACTGGAAGGATTTTTAATGAAACCTTTTTTACTTTAGGGCATTTGTTATGATGCGTAACCATGGCAACATGGTGTTTTTAAAAACCAGGAGCAGCTGATTAACATCTCAAAAGCTCAAATACCTCAACTACAGCCCCAATTCCCAAATGAGTTGAAAAGGAGGTGCCGTGGACGAATTCCCATCAACCTTGCAGAGGTGCTCGAGTACCTGACCGCCGAGATCATGGAGTTAGTGGGAAATTCAGCTCATGGCAACGAGAGGACCTTGGTCGTCCCCCGGCACCTTCAGCTGTCTGTTTGTGGAGATGAGGAGCTCGGCAGACTGCTGGGAAGACTGACCATCGCTCAGAGAGGAATTCTGCCCGGCATTCGGGCAGTCCTGCTGCCCAGGAGGACCAAGAGGCCTTCCGGATCTGACAGCAAGCTGGATCCAGGTGGACGGATCAGTATCTGTGGCCAGATTCTTCGGATTTGCTGCAGGAGATCCTTCCTGCCCACAGCTATCAGCATCTATAACTCTTGAATGAAACCAAGATGAGCTACGACAACACTTAATTTCTCTCTGGGATTAATGAAGTATTTTTGAATTGAATTAAGATCTGTAGAACACCAAACCAAACTGGATTTCCCTTTCATAATCTTTCTGCTCATAATTATCTCTCAGATCGGAGGCAATGTGTTTGACACAATGGTACTTAATCTATTTAACGGTCACTAATGGTGTGCCACAAGGCTCAGTTTTAGGACCCACTCTTTTTTCAGTTTATAAAAATAATTTTTGGTCAAAACATTCCTGATGCATTATTGCATCTCTATGCCAATGACTCTGTCATTTATTGCTGAGCTAACACAGGTGCCAAGGTTTTCCAGCTTCTACAGTTGACATCATTCAGTCAGACTTATTCCGCATCAGACTGATGCTAAATGCTGATAAAACCAAAGGGATGTTGTTTTCAAACAGAAAGTTGGTGCCAGCAGTCCTTCCTCCCATCTCATCTATGCATGGTGTTCCTATTGAGTTTGTAGATTCTTACAAATACTTGGGCATTTTAACTGATGCACATCTCTCTTTTAAGCCGCATGTTGAAAACTTGATAAAGAAACTGAAATTAAAACTGGGTTTCTTTTTCAGAATCAGATCTTGCTTAATTCTGAATGCCAGGAAACACCTTGTAGCTGCTGCTTTCCTACTGGCCATTGACTATGGTGACAATATTTACATGAATGCCCCTGCCAGCTGCTTGCAGATGTTGGATGCTGTCTACCATGGTGTGCTAAGATTCATAACTGGCTGTAACTACCGTACCCATCACTGTACTCATTGGTCAGTTGGTCATTATCTACATGTAGGCTCTCAAACTGGTTCATTTTCATCTATAAATCCCTCCTTGGTCTGCTACCTTCTTATATCTCCTCCCACATGTCACGTCGTCAGTGCAGTTACAGCGTGCGCTCTCAGATCATCATTACCTGCAGCGTCCCCTCAGAGCAGACTGAACTCGGCAAAAAGGCCTTTTCTTACTCAGCTCCTGGAACACATTGCAACAAGATCTGAAGCTGTCCACTTTGATCTCTTTAAGGGATTTTAAACAGTTGATAAAGTCAATAGAAACATCAAACATGTTCTCATTTTTATTATTTTACCTTGTTTTATATGGCACCTAGATTTGATTGTTTTTATAACTACTTTTATTTTATTTATTTGCGCTTTGTTGAATTATTGTTATCTGTACTATATGTTCTCTGTCTAAAACAGGTCTCTCTTATAAATGAGTCCTTGTGACTCAGTGAAACTAACCTGTACAAATAAAGGTTGCATGAAATCTACCTGGATTATTGTGCATGCATCAAGATGCCACAATCCTAGAGTGTAAAAAAAAAAAAGTCTGCTTAAAAAAGCATTACAAAAAACAGATGTAGTACACTATAATGTTCCAAAAGTTTTAATCCACCCATGCGCTTTTCAAGTTATCAGGTTAATAGAGTGAAATCAGATATTATGTAAACTTTACCTTTGACAGAGCGGCTTCATTGGTGATTTTGAAGTTGCGTAACCACGCCGTGGCTTGTAACGGCTGATCAAAGCGAGACGCCTTGTAGGAAGACGGCAGCAGCTCCTTACAGTTCTTCACCCACAGGTGGGCTGTTTAAATGAGAGGAGACGCAGAAAGTTTACCATCAACTCTCGAGTTTAAAAGCTTTGTAGCTCCCAAAGATGACTTGTGTTGGCCTCACCATCAGGAACGTGCAGCACCAGCCACCCCTGCGTGTAGCAGAAGTGCATCGTGTGACAAAGAGAGATTGTTTTCCCACTACCCTTCAACCCATCTGAACACTTTGATAAGGACAAAAATCAAGAAAACGTTTGTTGTTCTGTCGGAACGTGTGTTTGGAAGGATACAGAATAAATATCTCAGGGCAGGTTTGCTGAAGTCCGTTTGTTTCAGGTAAGAGATGACCTCCAGGGCTGGCGGCCTCACCATGATGCAGGCTTCATTAAACGTCTTTATCTAAGAAGCACATCGGGAACATTTACACCCAGGGCCGCGATAATATTTTTTAGTTTACATTTAAAAACTGAAAGCTGTCAAAACGTGTCATGTGTTACGGTTTTATTTCTGCGCTTGCCTGCTGCTGAAAGCGAGGGGGGAGGCTGTGAGGGAACAGAAGGCGGGTGTGAGCGGGAGGCAAGGTGTAGAAATGGTTGAGGAGTTTCTCCGAGTGCTGAGCCTGAGAGGGGAGAAATATGGGAGAAAAACATTTTATTTGAATGGCATCCGTCAAAGCAAAGAGTCTCGAAGGACCCAAATCAAAACAGGGTTTCATTAGAAATTAGCTAAATGAGTCACAAGGAGGAATTCTTCAACATTGGGTTATTTTTTATTTTAAAATTCTCCATCTCAAAACCTTCAAAATCATAGTTTGTTTAAATCTGATGATTTATCACCTGGCAAAAAAAAACCTACTTTTGTTTACAAGAGTGCCCGTTTAAAAACTCTAAATTTACTGGTCTGGAGTGATATCTGGAATTCAAGGGGAACCCCTGAGGTTCTCATTGACAACACACATTAAACGAAGGGATTTCCCAGCCAGCGCAACAGCAGCTGGATGGAAAAAAACAAGTTTTATAAGTGTTACATGTGAAGGTATACTTGGATTCATCAGCAGATTAAAGAGTATTTGTAGTACAAGAGATCACCAAGTGGTGTCTTTGTGGACTCCTCATCATACAAACCTCAAATTAATTCTTTAACGTTTTTATCCTGCAGCCTGAAATCTTTCTGACTTTTTGTGCCAGCATGGGTCATGTTTTTGCCCTCTTTGACATTTGTTTAGCTGCAACCAAAATGGTTCAAAACCTCAAAACAAATAAAGCATGCAGCAAAGTTGAGCTTACGGCTGCACAACTGCAATCAAAAACCTTTTATACATTTTAGAACGAAAAATATAACGTTGTCCCCTCTGCAGTATATTCTCCATTTTAGAATTGTTGCAACATTATTACAATGTTATTTATGACAATCTTATACTGTAGTATCTTTAGTTATTACACAGACTTGTACTTCCACTGTAACACATTTCAGCTCAGGAAAATACCCCCAATAGGAACAATAAAGTTTATTTCATTCAGAGTGACACAGCAAACATTGATATTTGTTGCAAAATAGTCACTTTTTACATTTTTATTGCCTTTTAAATAGGGACATTTTAAATATATTTTCATAAAGTCGACAATACGTTTGATTACTTATGTGGTCATTTAACTTGTTTTAAAAGTATATAAACCCCTTTGAGACGATGCAACGACCCAGCAGAACATCTAAATTCTTTGTTTTTTATAATTCATTTGATTTAATTAGGATTAATCTGAGTCAGTATTATTAACTTACTGCACTAGATGCATTACTTATTTAATAATTACCATTTTAAACAAGATGGAGGTAAATAATGATTTTTGGAACTTTGTTAATCGAAGTCTGATGCATTTAGTGGCTATATTTAATTTAAATCATTATAAAACATTACCGGGTCGTTCTCCTGTGTCCTGAGGACCGAGAAGAGCACAGGCTCTGACTCCTTGTGAGCCGCTGCCTCCTGCTGCAGTATACATGATCCACTGGTATGAAGAGCCCGGACATGCGTTACCTGAACAGAACCCAGTTTGAACAGCCTTACAAAAAAACAATTCAAATATGAAATCCTCTCGTAGACACAATCCAAGTTTTTGTAGAACAAATCAAATAATTTACACAGTGCTTTCTCCGTTACTTCCCATATTTGAATGTAAAGTTAACTTTTTCTTATAGTGAATATTTTCATTATACTTTCTCTTCGATTGGTAGTATGTTGCACACGACTTACCTGCACTGGCTTTATATTTTCTGTTGTTTAAATTAATTACATTTGTTTGCTTTTATTTGTACTGGATGCATTTCACGTCACAAGTTACAGGATAAAAACTTGACAGTACTTAACACTGTCTGGTACACATGAACCTGAACTCATCAAGTGTTGCTGGCTTCTCGTGTGCAATTAAAAACACACAAAAAAATATGTTGATCTTACTGTTGACCGTAGCCGGAGGGTGAGTCTGGGCAGAGCCATGATCTGAAACACGAAAAGAAACGTTATATTTTTTGCAAATTTCAACGATTAGCCTCACAGCCTAGCTTCCTGGCTGTAACCTTGCGTAAACAGGCAGCTAAGCTAACAGCTAACTACGGAAACCTGAAGGAGATACGCACATTTCCGGGCCGTGAAGCCTTCAGAAGCGACTCACTTGCGGCTCAGTTCGAAAAATATTACGTGGAAGATGTGTCAGCTGATTTCATTTACATAGAAACGTGCCGGAGTCAGGATAATAAGGACGAAAAACTGCTTGCTAATTCCAGCAGCAGAAATCAACGTGCCCGAACTATCATACAGAACGCATGCGCTACAGGAAGTGACGTATATTTACATTAGCCAATCAGATCGCACATTTCTGGGGACAGCGGTTCAACTTTTTATTTCTTACCCCAAATAATAAATACAGTCCAGTAATGTTAAGAGTATTATTACATAAAGTCAAATACCAGAACTTGTAGTTCTTTACACCTGTTTTTTTTTACCGTCTGTATCTTTGTAAATACATTTCAATAAAGTTATGAAAAAAATTGAATTAAAAAAAGAAATAGTAGACTTAATGTAGTTTCAAATAATATTTTTGAAACGCAGTACTTTTATAGAGAAGTGAACATTTTCATTTTATGATAAATTAGGGTGGATTTTGCACACTTATTATTAAGTAAAATTATTTTATAAACAATGTTTGCATCTGTTAATTAATTATCCAACCCACAAATGACCAGGTGGCCTCAGTCTTACAATTAAGGTCTCAGGGATTATTCTGAAAGAAAAACAACAGGAAAATCTAAATCAAATTATTGACCATTTGCTCTCCAGCCCTAATCTGCGCGGAGGGACGGGAGTGACTGTTGTTTTGGAGATTTGATAGGTGGTGAAGGAAGGAGGAAGCTGTTGGGCGCGGAATTCAAAACAATTTTTGACGGATTATCGGTATTTGACATTTTTTGGACTTTGGAACAGGCGGAAATTGGCATAAACTGGTATGTGAATGGTTCGGATGGAAAAACAGGTAGGAGACGAGGCAGACATGGATTTTGAGGGGTGGACACCGGTAGGTAGAGGGAGAGGACGCGGAAGAAATAAAATGGAGGAAGGGACAAATGACAGCCAGAGTAATAAAAGGGAGTTGGAAGGGAGCAGCTCTGATGAAGAAAGGGTAGTAAGAAGAAAAGTAGTGAGGGATGAATTTAAAATAATATTAAAACTAAAAAATGAGGAAGGGCAGGGTAACATAAGCCCCATTTTGATATCAAAAGAAATAAAAAGGAAGATTGGGGATGTAGAAATGGTGAAGGTGTTAAGAGATGGAAATTTATTAATATCATGTAAAACTGAAGAACAAAAAAATAAGGCTTTGCACGTCGAGAACATCTGTAAAAGAATGGTCATGGAAAAAAAGATAATAGGAGAAAACAAAACAGTTCGCGGAGTTATTTACGGGATCCCAGTGGATGAAGATTTAGATAAAATAAAAAGGAACATTGTTGGTGCACAAGTAAACAACTTGAAGAGACTATCAAGAACTGTTAATGGGGAAAGAGTAGGAAGTTTATCAATTATGATTGAGTTTGATGAGACAACATTACCAGCAAACATAAAAATAGGTTATTTAAATTTTCAAGTTAGGCCTTACATCCCACCACCACTCCGCTGCTACAAGTGCCAGAGATATGGACACATTGCAGCAGCGTGCAAAGGTAAACAGAGGTGTCCAAAGTGTGGAGAAGACCATAGGATAGAAGAATGTAAAGAAGAAAAGGAGAAGTGTTGCAACTGTGGAGGACAACATAGAGTTACATACGGGGGGTGTGAAGTGAGGAAAACGGCAAAAGAAATCCAACAGGTGAAAATAAGTAAAAACACCACATATGCAGAGGCAGTCAAAAGTGTCAAAGAACAAAAGACAAGAGCGACAGGACAAACAGAGAACCAGAACCCACAACAAAGTACCAGTAAACAGCAAACAGAGGAAAACATCACAATGCCAGTTGAAAACCTAATATTATTCATAGCATATGTCATAAACTGCACTGACCAGGCCAAACATAAAACAGAGAAAATTAAAATAATTGTGAGAGGAGCTGAAAAATTTTTGGGGTTCAAAGAGGGATCTTGGGAAAACATTAACAAAAGGTTGGAAGCTGATGGAAGACCAGGAACACCAGGTGACAATATATGAATATATTACAATGGAATGCTAGAAGTTTAATTGCTAATGGACAGGAACTTAAAGGTTATATTAACGAACTTCAAGAGAAACCAGACGTTATTTGTGTACAGGAGACGTGGTTAAAACCAACAATAGATTTTATTATTAAAGGATATGATAATATAAGAAGGGATCGACAAGAAGGAAGTGGAGGAGGGTGTATAATATTTATAAAACAAGGCAGGCAATATCAAATAATAGGGAAAGGTAAAGAATTGGAATATATAGTAATAGAAATTTGGGGAAAAGAAGGAAATTGTAAAATATTAAATTTTTATAATCCATGTAAAACATTGTCACTGGAGTTGATGGAAGAGGTGATGGAACATCTGGAAGGGAGAGTAATATGGTGTGGGGACTTTAATGCTAATAGCACAGTATGGGGTAAATGTAACGATAAAAATGGACAGATTATCGAAGAAATAATGGAAAACAAAAATTTAGTATGCATTAATGATGGAAGAGGAACGAGACTGAATGTAAGAACAGGAGCAGAGTCAGTCATAGATTTAACATTTGTATCAAACTCACTGGCTGGTGTCTGTGAGTGGGACATTGATAAAAACACAACTATAGGCAGCGATCATTATCCCATTACAATAAGAGCAGGACTAACAATAAATAACAATAATATAAAAATAAACAAAAAATGGAATTTTAATAAAGCAGACTGGGTTAAATTTAGCTATTTGAGTCAAATTAGTCTAGAAAAAGTCAACATGACAATGGATATAAATAATATAAATACATATATAAATAAGGTAATACTAGAAGCTGCAGAAAATTCAATAAAGAAAGGAGGAAGACAGAAGGACAAGAGAATTGTACCCTGGTGGACAAGTGAATGTAGTGAAATAATAAAGTTAAGAAATAAAGCATTTAAAGTACTTAAAAGGAATCCAATTTATCAGAATCTAATTGATTATAAAAGAAAACAAGCTATGGTAAGGAGAATAATTAAGAACACAAAGAGAGAATATTGGAGAAAATTCTGTAACACAGTGGGAAAAGAAACAAAAATTGAAAAAATTTGGAAAATAATTAAAAGAATGAATGGTATTAAAAAAGAATATGAATATCCAGTATTAAAAATAAGTAACAAAACTATTACAAAAGATGACAAGAAAGCTGAAATATTAGCAGAAACATTTAGTAAAATTCATAGTTCTAGTAACATGAGTGAAGAAGGAAGGAAAGGTCAGGAAGCCACAAAACTAAAATACAAAGATTTACAACAAAATACTGAAGAAACAAATAATTTATTGAATGAACCGTTTACTAAAACAGAACTGAACTATGCACTAAGGAAAACAAAGAATACAGCACCTGGTAAAGATAACATTTGGTATACAATGATAGAACATCTCAGTGAAACATCAAAAGATACAATATTAGAATTTTACAATAAAATCTGGGAGGAAGGGGAGCTGCCAGAGAGCTGGAAGGAGGCGATCATAGTTCCAATAGCCAAACCAAGAAAAGACAATACAAACCCAGAAAATTATAGACCCATTGCTTTAACGTCAAATATGTGTAAAATAATGGAAAAAATGATTAATAATAGATTAACTTATTATTTAAATATCAAAGGGTATATATCTAAATATCAGAGTGGGTTTAGAAAGGGGAGGAATACTAATGACCCAACAATTTGCTTAGAGCATGAAGTCAGAAAAGCACAAATCAACAAAGAAAGTGTAGTCGCTGTATTTTTTGATCTAGAGAAGGCATATGATATGATGTGGGTAGAAGGATTATTAATTAAATTATGTCAAATGGGGATCAATGGAAATATGTTTAACTGGGTTCAAAACTTTTTATCAGACAGAACAATAGAAGTGAGAATTGGGCAAGAACTATCAAGAAAATTTACAGTAGAAAATGGGACGCCACAAGGAAGCATTTTAAGTCCGTTATTGTTTTCCATAATGATAAATGATATATTTACAGACATTGAGAAAGAAATGGGATGTTCATTATTTGCGGACGATGGAGCCATATGGAAAAGAGGTAGAAATACAGAATTTGTTATTAAAAAAATACAAGATATGATAATTAGAATAGAAAAATGGGCATTTCAATGGGGATTTAAGTTCTCAATAGAAAAAACAAAAGTTATGGTGTTTACACAGAAAAGAATAAGAGAGGAAATAAAATTAAAATTATATAATCAAGAATTAGAACAAGTAAAAAGTGTAAAGTTTTTAGGAGTATGGTTTGATGAAAAAATAATATGGAAGATACATATACAGAAAATTATCGATAAATGTAAAAAAATATTAAACATTATGAGATGTTTGGCTGGCAGTGACTGGGGAGCGGATAGAGGAGCTTTAAAACAAATATACACCGGATTAATCAGATCAAACATTGATTATGGAAGCATCATTTATGGATCAGCAGCAAAAACTCATCTGGAAAAATTAGATACAATACAACATCAGGCATTAAGAATCTGCACAGGAGCATTCAAAACTACACCAACAACAGCGCTAGAAGTAGAAATGGGAGAGATGCCTTTAGATCTAAGAAGAACACAACTAGCAATAAATTACTGGATAAACTTACAAAGCAATAACCCGGATCATCCAACACTCGATACACTAATCCCATGCTGGGAGAAAGAGAAAAAACAAACAAGAAGTTTTGGATGGATCATAAGAAAGAAAACAGAAGAAGTTCAAATACATCATTTAGAAATAAGTCCACATTTACCACTATCAGTTTTACCACCCTGGATATTACCAACAGCAACAGTCGACATGACACTAATGGAAAGGAAAAAGGACAGGACATACATCATAGATTCACACACAGTACAGACTTATATAAACAATTATTACCAGTACATTCAAATATATACAGATGCATCAAAAACAAATGAAAAAATAGGAATAGCTTTTATAGTACCGGAATTTCAAATAAAAATAGGAAAACGAATCACCAACGACTTATCCGTATATGCAGGAGAGATGTTAGCAGTGTTATTAGCAGTGCAGTGGGTGGAGGAAGTAAAACCATTAAAAACAATAATCTGTTCAGATTCAAGTTCCACATTACTCAGTTTAAAGCACAATCATACAGACAGTAGGCC